TTCCTTAGTGCTGCAGGCCTGCATGTGCGCTAGACAGGACCAACCAGGAATAGTACACCCGCAATGTGTCGATGAATTCCTTAGTGCTGCAGGCCTGATTTTTTTAGAGCTGCAGGCCTGCATGTGCGCTAGACAGGAGGCGATGATTTCTGTAGTGGTGCAGGCCTGCATGTGCACTAGACACGAGGTGCAGCTACCTGTGCAGCGTTTGCATGACTAGCATCCTCTCTGAGCACAAGTGGAGATGATCCGCGTCTGCTTCCTGCATCTGACCCACCCATTTCTCATCCACCTAACCCCACCTCCCCACATGCTCCCCTGCCCCAATTGACAATGACCCACCTTCTGATCACTTGATGGAGCCCCCGACTGAAGATAATTCCTCTCCAGAGGGCATACTAGAGCCAAGGGAGTTAATACAGCCGGAGGAACCTGACAGAAATAGACAAGACCGCAATTAATCTCCGCCAGCTGCGCAATCTGTAAAACTGATTGAACCTCCCCCTGCCGCACAACCTGTAAAACTGAATGAACCTCCTCCCCCTGCCGCACAACCTGTAGAATTAGGCGATAAATAGTCAAGACCGCAATGAATCTCCACCAGCCGTGCGATGAGTGTAGAACTGAATAAACCTCCCCCTGCCTCACAACCTGTAGAATCAGATGATATCATAGTGCTACAGCGAGGCCACTGTGCGTACTATGCCATTAATGTCTGTCTGTCTGTCTCCTCGCGTACAAATGCAACCCTTGTAATGTATTCGATGACCTGTTGCGGCTTCGCTCGCAAAAGAAAATGCGTCAGGTGATGCGCGAAGGGTGGAGGCAACCGACCGATGAAAACTCTCTCACACTCACAAAGAGAGAAACGCAAAAAAATGCCATTTCACACCTTTAGCAACCCCCCCACCCCCCACCCCTTTACTTTCCCCCTAACTTTTCCTCTCCTCCCTCCTGTCCCTCCTCTATGCTTTCCCCTCCTCTGCTCGTCCTTCTCCTCTCTCCCCCTCCTCCCTCTCCTCCTCCTCCTCCAGCTCCATCTTTCTCCCTCCCTACCCTCCCTCCTTTTCGGCTTTCGCCTTCCTGTATCTTCCTGCTATGCCTTTCCCTCCTCCTCCTCCTTCCCCCCTCTCGTTCCTGGTGTTCTCGTTCTTCTTCCTCCATTCTTTCTCCCAACCACTCCTCGTCCTTCAGTATGCATTCTCTCTTTCTTGTGTTTGTCCACGTATTATCGTCGTTCTGTCCCATTTTCACGTATTTTATGTATATTTTATGTATAAATTTATGTCTTCTCCCGCCTTACATGTTCAACTTACGACCCTCTATCCGCGATGCTTCCCCCCGCGTCCTCCCCCCTCCCCCCTCCCCCCTTCCTTGCCGGGCATGCTTAGCAAGTAATAGCAGCATAGGCTGCTTGATCCTCGCCGTCCTCGTTATCCTCGTGTTCCTCTTCCACTTCCTCGTCGTTGCCCTCCCCCTCCTCTTCCTCGTCCTTCTCCCCCTCCCCTTCCTCGTCCTTCTCCTCGTCCTTCTCCCCCGCCGTCGCCCCCCCCCCTCTCTCTCTCTCGCTCTCGCTCTCTCTCTCCCTCTCTCACAATGTATGGATGGGGAAGAAAAAAGGTAAAAACTAAAACGGATCACCCTCTCTATCTCTCTCTCAATGTATGGAGGGGGAAGAAAAAAGAAAACAACGAAAACAGATTTCTCTCTCTCTCTCTCAATGTATGGAGGGGAAAGAAAAAAGAAAACAATGAAAACAGATCTCTCTCTCTCAATGTATGGAGGTGGAAGAAAAAAAAAAGAAAACAGATCACTCTCTCTCTCTCTCTCTCTCTCTCAATGTATGGAGGGGGAAGAAAGAAAAAAAAAAGAAAACAGATCACTCTCTCTCTGTCTCTCCCCCCCCCATCCCCCCCTCGCTCCAAGGAATCGTCTTTGCCGCGCGGAGAGAAGGGGCAGAGGCGGACAGGAAGTCGGCGGAGGCCGAGGGGAGGTTGGCGCGCACAGTGGGATGTGCAGCGGATGGCGGGAGGAGGCGGATGCGAGGTGGGCGGAGGGGAAGGGGAGATGGGAGATCCCAATGGCGGAAGGGAGGTGGGTGGAGGCTGACAGGAGGTCAGCGGAGGTGGAGAGGAGGTCGTCGAAGGCCGAGGGGAGGTGGGGGCGCACTGTTAAAAAAGAAAAAAAAAGAAAAAAGGGGCGGGCAGCGGGATGTCCAGCGGGATGGTGGATGTGCGGGCAGAGGAACGAAACCCAGAGCAGAGGTGAACGGAGGTGGAGGAGAAGTGACGGAGGCGGAGAGGAAAGAGAGAGGACATGGCGGGAGGAGGCGGATGGGAGGTGGGCGGAGGCTGAGGAGAGATTGGCGATCCGAATGGCGGGAGGGAGGTGGGAGGAGGCGGACAGAAGATTGGCGCTGGCCGAGGGGAGGTGGGCGCGCACCGTGTTTTTCTGTTTTTCTTTTGAAGGCGGGCAGAGGGATGGCGGATGTGCGGGCAGCGGAATGGAGGCCAGAGCGGAGGTGAGCGAAGGTGGAGGAAAAGTGGGCGGAGGCAGAGAGGAGATGACGGGAGGAGGACGGGAGGTGGCGGAGGTGGAGAGGAGAGGATATGACGGGAGGAGATGGCTGGAGGAGGCGGATGGGAGGTGGTGGAGGTGGAGAGGAGATGGCGGGAGGAGGTGGATGGGAGGTGGGCGAAGGCTGATGGAGATTGGCGATCCCAATGGCGGCACGGAGGTGGGTGGAGGCAGTGCTGCGGACTACTGCAGTGTCTCCTTCGCACCTGAGAGAACAAACAGTGCAAAGGAGCAATTCGTTTGGTAGTGTTGCGGTCGCCCATAAAATTAAGAAAGCCATCATGAAGGCGAAAAAAGCAATAACTTCAGTTAAAGCAAAACCTAAAATGGGTGGGGGTCAGAGGTGAGTCTCACAGAGAGAGAGAGAGAGAGAGNCACACACACTCACTCACTTTTTATTCCAATTATTTCAATTTCGGGATTTTGGGGATTGTGAGACCTACCGAACTTGTGATTTCGATTTTTTTTTTCTTTTCTTTTTTTTGTGGTGTTGTCTAGCCCTTAAGCAGCATTGGCCGCAGTTGCTGAATTGACGGCGGGGGCGTTCAAACGGATTACTATCGGAATTATTATCTAGCCCTTAACCAGCATTGGTCGTGGGGGCGTTCAAACGGATTACTGGGGCAAAATTCCTTGGACTTCAGTTGAGAGTTTTGTCTTCAGATTCCAGACATATTTCCATTCACAAGTATTACATAAATTCTAAGTCTCCAATTAAGTGGGGCTTATTAGAGAATCCTCTTCCTATCCAACGTATATATAGCGGTAGAACATCACTCGGTCTGGCTTGTCCATCACAAACAGTATGTCGTTGTTCACCCACAAGCTCTGCAGCCTCCGGAGAGCAATCCGGCTGAACCACCTGCTTCCCAGGCAGAGAGTCCTCCTGTGTAGAACGGAGGGATTCTACCACAGAGAGGGAAGGGGGCTCTCCAGAGGACAATGGCTGTGCCATCCCATTCTGTTGTCATAGAACTACAGTTCGGTTAGCATGCACACAGCATAGTCTCTGCTCCGAACACCATGAAAGGATGGGCAGAGGGAGGACGATTGGCTGTGCCATTCCCGTTCTGTTGTCGCACAACTACAGTTCGTTAGCATGCACACGGCTTAATCTCTGCTGGGAACACTATGAAGGGATGGTAACTGCCAGCCTCTGCCGTGAAAACTGTGATCCTTCGTCTTGTACTCATCCTTTCCACCCCCTAATTGCTTGCCCAGCGCACAATCGTGGCCTCGACATGCCATGTCTAGATAGCTCCGAACGTCAGCCTGCTTTCCTGCTGACATGTCAGCAACATGCCATATGTCATTGATGTTTCCAGGAAGCTGTCAGAGAAAGTATGTGTCTCTATGTCGTGGACTGTCCCCAATGCCATCATCCGTTACATCCTCTCCTACGATGTCCTGCATGCACCGTTGGGCACTTGCCAGACGAACGACAGACACAACAACCTGAGGAGGGTAATAGACTACCATATGAACCACCTACAGAGGGCTGTGCTAAAAGGTTATCACCTCCAGGACGAGCTGTTGCAGACCAAATCCTGCAGCAGCTAAGCACCCTTGCTTTGGATCAATTCCCCTCGTCGTCTACCCGCGCAGAGGGAACAAATGCTATGGAAACCCATGAAACCTGCTCAATGCCTCTCTGTGATGACCCGCCTCAGATCCGGCTAGCATGTGCTTCACATGCCTTGTGCTGTGAGGATTATGAAGGGATAGCCTATGCGAGTGACAGTGTACGACATCCCGACATGTTGTGTCCAATTTGTAGACGGGCTGGAATGGCAATAACTTTACAATTGCTGTTGGCGTGGCTCTGTGTTCATGGCATGTAGGAGTCACGTAGCCTGTGACATCTGTCTACACCATGCCATTCAATTCAGCAACTGCGACTGCGAGCATTGGATGCGTCGCTTCCACAGTCCGCACCCGAACTGGTCCTGTCCTGTCTGTAGGCAACGGCTACTCCTCAACTCAAAAATCTTATGCAACCCAAACACTGACTGGCCTCATGTGCTATTCTAGAGTACTCTGCTCCGGTGATGAGCATTTATAATCTTGTGAAGTTCGTCACATTTCTGTCCTGTCCTTTGCACACTTCCTCTCCTACCTTTTTTCCCTCCCCAGCCCTTCTCACTCCCTATAGAACTCCGCTTTCCACCCCTTTCCCTTTACCCTCCCCTTATGTGCTACTAGCAAATAACATATGAATGAGCATCATCGTTAAGAGAACGGACAAAGTATAAGCTGAGCATCTGAAGTGACATGAACAGGAGTATATCTTCCCCTTTTCTCGGCAAGTGGGCCGTTAAGTCACACGGGGATGTGGGCAGCAGTCACTCAACCACAGTCATCAACGTGGGCAGCCTGGTACATACGAGGCATAGTAAAAGAGAAGCTGCAAGAACAAATGGGAGGGGCACCCCCAAGGAAAACTAAAAAACTGTCGAATTGTAAAATTGCTTAAATGTTGGACTGTCTCAATTCAAGTGCTCTCATGGCCTGCAAAATAGGACGACAGCTGAAAGCTGCTTCGATTCTGAATCTACTTATCTGAGTGGAATTGGGGCTGTTGCAGGGGGAAATTTAAGCACACACACACACACACACATAATGAATGTGTGAATCCGGGCTATCTAACCAGGGCAAGCATGTTGTCCTCTTATGTGTTTGGTGCTCTGCTTTTTTCAGGGGATGGACTGGTAACCTGTGCTGCAAACAGGATTAAAACTGGTGGATAGCCTACTTTGCGGTATTCCGCCTAAAGCTTCCGGTGCCTGTGAATGTGCGAGCAGCTGGATGTACAGAGGGGTATAGACAGAGGGCTACACGAACCTGTCATCTGGCTTTTGGTTGTGTGTGAGAGAGAGAGAGAGAGAGAGAGAGAGAGAGAGAGAGAGAGAGAGAGAGAGAGAGAGAGAGAGAGAGAGAGAGAGAGAGAGAGATGCATGAAGATGGTAGGTCGGGCTGCCTACATTGGTGTTCCGAACCTGTCTTTCTGGTGTTTGATGGCCTTGCAGTGGAAAATTCTCTGTTCGGGGGGGTTAACGAATGTTGTTCATATTCTTCACGATTGCCAAGTCTCCTCTTGTTAGGATCTCTTGCCTTGAGTCGTTGACGTCTTTGACGTCTTCCATACTTGAGTCGTCGAAGTCTTCCATACTTCTGTCGTTGTAGGCTATGTCGACAATCCGATGCAGCCGCATCCTTGAGCTTGTGGCTAATTACTCCCTGCTAGGCCATTTATGACGGTCTTTGCCCTTGCTCTTCACATTATACGGTTTCCAGTTGTGACCTAAATGGCCATCCTTTGCCCGTGTCTTTCACATTGACCAAAATTTCTACAACGTTCTTCATAAATTGCATGCCAGCCTGTCGGCTCCTTTTGGGGTGCATTCTTGTGTGATCTTTCCTCCCTGCGTTCCTTGCACCGGCTGTCTATTTCCATCTTTGTCATTGTCTGACCTTTCCTGGGGTGTTTTTCCTGTGACTCCAAAGGCGGGGAGGTTTCTGACAGAAGCAGGGAGGTGGCATGCATGTTAGGACAGCGTGGATTTGCTGTACCAAGTGTTGCAGCGTGGACGGCCTACCGTCTTCCCCTGAACACAACGCACCCTCATTTTGGCTGCACGAGACCAGAAAGATAGCTTGTGTACATTATTATCAGCGTGTGTTGTGCCTACTGAGCGCTACGTAATACTCAAGAAGACAGCAACGACTGTAGGAGGACAGCGGCTCCCCACAGGAGCCTACTGGTCGCACAAAGTCTCAGTCCGTGGACTGCGTGTGAGAGGAGTGCTTTGCTGGAAGTGGAACAACCTTGATCATCTTGTTCTAAAGGGGAGCAGCCTGGTGGAGGGTTGGGGGAGTGGCGGGGTCTTGTACTTGTAACCCGTTTGTACTGGTTGCATAAAGTCCTGGGCCCTGGACACGAGAGAGTTGGGGGAGCGGTGTGGTGGAACACTGGGGGAGCAGCCGGGTCTCTTACTTCTACCGCGTGTGTACTGGTTGCATAAAGTCTTGGGCCATGGAGCGCTTTGCTGGAAGTGGAACAGCTTTGATCATCTGCTTGCATTTTGCTTGCGGGCCATTTGGTCTTCGCCACTGTTAAGGGAAGAGTGGCTTGGTGGAGTGCTGAGGGAGCGGCAGAGTTGTCTACTTCTGACCCGTTTGTATGGATCAGCACCAACATCAAGGGGGGGTTTGGTTGATTCGACACAGTTGCACACACGTGAATTGGTGTCAGAGAAAACAGGAGAGTGTGTGCCTTCGTAAGTGAAGAACAGTCGGCTCGGCCTGTTTCGTTAACCATCTGCAAAGATGGGAGACGAGGCGGATCTGCCAGAGATCTACTGGGGGAAGAGGAATGGAACAGGTGGTGGGAGAAAGAGGTATGAGTCGTTTAAATTTGATAGGAGGGAGGAGGTTTTCCTCTACGACACAGTGTACTTGTTCCCTGAAAATGAGGGCGATTTGCCGTATGTGGCGAAGATCATGGACTTGTATGACGGCAGGCATGATGGGAAGCCTGCGAAGATGGCAAAGCTGCGGTGGTTCTTCAGAGCCTCAGATATTCCTGATGACGAGGTGACACGTGCCAGGCCCAGGGTGAACGAGCTATTTCTCAGTTATGGAGATCCGGCAGAAGTGAACCATATATGTCCCCTGGTAAGCAGCAGTAACTATTATTACAAAAAAATGCATCTGCTAGCGTTGCATGGGTGGCTGTTTAAGCATTCGTTCAGGCCACAGCTTTGCTGGTATTCTGTGGACCTGAGCTACGTGTTTGATCACCACCTGAGCTGTTTAACCCCCCCAGCACTGAAAACAGTGAAAAGTGCATTTTTTTTTTTTTGCCCTGTTTTTTTTTTTTTGGTCAAGGTCTGCCTGTACCAAGTTTGGTGTTTGTTGGGATCTTGGAGATAACTGTTTTGGCCAGCCCTGAAAATCCTGAAAAATCCTGAAAAATCCTGAAAAATCCTGAAAACTGAAAGGAGCGAATTTTGCATGACAACACACTTTTGCCTTGGGATTTAAGACCCCTTTGATCCATTTTTTCACTTTTTATTTTTGCCGTTGGTTTATTTGGTGTCCACTCTATGGACTTGTGACAAGTCTTGCTTGAAAGGTGTAAGACATTTGTTATAATGACCCTGAAAAAACCCTTTAGGGGTCTTTTAACCGCTTCTCGTCTCCAGCTCCACCGCTCAGCAGGAGCTCCGCCTAACGCCACCCTCTGAGTGGAGCAGCAGCATGACTGCCGGGTAAGATACCACTTCACGCATTGTAACCCAAATGATATGCTCTTCCAACACGACCTCACAGCTTCACTCAGGCTGCAGTACAGCTGCACTTCCTGGGTACTAGGCCTACTGGTAATTCCTGCCTTTTGGTGGAAACATCGTTGCAGCCTGCAAGTACCTCAGGGCCTGAGTCTTACTTACCTGATATCTAGGTTCGGGCCCAGACTACTCACGGCCTTTTGGAAGCTACTACTGGGTCCTTCTAGGCCTACCTTATTACTGCTGGGCCTGCCCGAGTTGCTGGAAAGTCCTTGTCGGTTGCTACCCAAATTCTACTTGTACCCTGTCCGTCCTAGCCTTTCTAGAAGTCCCTCCGGTCCCCGGTTTCAGTCTTGTCCCTGCGGTTTTCCTGTTTCTGGTCTATCCCTCCCAGGGACACATAAAACACAGGGCAAGCACACCATTAGTACTCCGCATAGCAATCATCACACAGGTACTTACACACCTGCAAGGACTCAGCAAATCCGCAAATCCGCACTATCAGCTGGCGCCAATAGATTCACTTCTCCCGCTGAGCAAGCTCATACATCATTCAACCTGGCCGCAAGCTCAAACAGAAACGCAGGGGAATGGGGCAATCTTGGCCGATTCATTGTACTTTGCCCAGTGAGTTGCACAAAATGACCGCGACAGATTTACCATCTCCGCTCAGGCTCAAGAAACTGGATAAAAAATTAACCAGTTCTGCTCGCTGAAGCAAACAGGCTGATCTCAACGCTTTTACACTTATCCAACCTTATCCCACTGAACTGATCAGACTCATCTCAACAGTGAAGTCCAGACTCTACAGAGAGAAATCATAATGAACTGGACCGCAGAGGGGAACCTCCTGCGGACTCTGAGATAGTCTCTATGGTCCGAACACAGCCCTGATTACTCTGGCTTAAACCACCACTACCCCCGCCGTCATAAATTAGGGGGAGCCGGTAGCACAGGTCCATGAGGGCTACCGGTAGCACAGTGGGGGGAACTGGCGGAGTGGCAAAAGTCGAATTACCCCTGCGATTTATTTCGTGGTTCAAATGTTTTTTGTTTTTTTTTTTTCCTTCTTTTTTTTCCTGTAAAGATCACGACAAAATCCACGGACCCTCCAATTTTCAGAGTTGTTGGGTCATTCTTCTGATCGCGAAAAATCGCGAAAGTTGGGTTACGTTTCCCGTTGGCCCATACATGGTAGAGTAGCAAAAATGGAAAATGTGACGAAACGGCGCGGCACGCACTTCACCGTCTAAATGTTTTTTTTTTTTTTGATATTTTTTCCTGGAAAGATCACGACCTAATCTACAAGATATCAAATTTTCAGATTTTTTTGCCTCGCCAAAGTTCGCGCTTGGAAATTTTTGGACCGGACCCGCCTGCGCCGCCCGGTCGCCGCCCCCTGTAAGAACCCGGTCCGTAAGGCCAGGGAAGTCCATTTTAGGACGGCGGGGGTAGTGGTGGTTTAAACAAACCGGACTCGTCGGCCTAAACTCCCTGTGCCAGGACTCTGACCAGACAGTGGAACGGACTGCAACATAGCCTGGATTACAATCGAGTCTCTCGACCAGTTCGAGAAAAACAAAGCTGGGCAAACTCGAGCATACTCAGCAGGCTCAACAGGTTGAGGAGCTTGACGCTTAGGCTGGCAATGATGAGGGCACTATGAACTCTGTGCAACAGTCCACATGTATCGGGACTGAATGATAGTGTAGGTAAGGGCCACGCTCCACCAGTCACCAAAAGCATTAAGTGCGAATGAATCGTCTGCTAGAACGTGGAAAGATAGACCGCCATATTTTTTGTCGTTTGTGCATGTGGTGAGTGGTGGCCCTAAGTCTGTATGGTGGGAAGGGTGTTGAAATTTGAGTGTATTCTTTTGGGACTTGCATATACAAAAACGTTTGGACAAAAAAAAAAGCAAAAGAGGGCCTCAACGCACCGCTCTCCAAAAATGCAAAATGAGAATAATACTTTGGCTAGAAGATGGGCTGATACACCCGCCATATTTTTGTCTTTTTGACATTTAGAGCGGGGTGTGGCAAGGCCCGGAGCATGAAAAACTTGTTCCAGTCCAGAAAATACCACAAAGGGCAGAGAAGACACAAAACTGCTCAGGACAAAGAGAAAAAGCGCAAGCGTATTTTCTTCTTGTAATGTTTTATTTGTTTTTGGGGTCGTGCCCACTTCTTTTTTCTGTCCACGCAGACGTTTTCATTTTCCCGGTGGCCTTGAATTGGACCCGATAGGCACAAGGTAAAGCTTGTTTTGGGGTCACCACGGCCCACCAGCCCTCTCCCATCAAAGCTCTACTGGCCCTGGGCTGAACGACCCAGGTCCGGTAATCGTCAACGCGCATGCAGTGGTGGTTTTAAGTGTGCTAAGAGCTCTGGGATGAAAGGTGTCAAAAGTTTCATCAGTCTTGGAGCCTCAATTATGAGGAAAGGGTTTGAGAACAATATTTCAGCTTTTTGATAGTGTCGTATAACGTCGTGAGGTTTGTACGTGAGACACACAGTCAAGAGAGATGCAAAAGAAGAATGAGAAAAATGAATGGTTACAGTGTGCTCTGCATGTTTGTCTTGTGTATTTTTATTTTTATCGTTTGTTTCGGAAATGGCGCTCTTTTACTTCATAGATATGTAACAATATAATAGTAATAGCCACAATAGTTTTGTCAGACTTCTATGCAGACTCTGGACTCCAAGATTGGTGCAAAGGACTAAGGTTTCAAGTGGATACGATACTAAGGTTTCAAGTGGATACGATCTCCTCCCAGCTTTTGAGGTCTCTATTGTTTTTTTAATCCTTGTCTTGTCAGATGCTCGTTGGGGGTTAAACTAAACGGGCTTGTACAGGATTGTGACAATGTGCTGATGATTTCCTCTCTGCTGCGTCTTTTTTGTTTTTTTGTCCACGTGTGATGTTTTGTGATAGTGTGCTGATGATTCTACCTCTGCTGTGTGGGTAATGATGTCACTGCTTATTGCACAGGATTGCGTGGACCGCAAGTGTAATATGGTCTGTACTGCAAAACATCCTGCAAATGCCAATTTAAACCTCGACGATATTCAGAATGCAGATGAAGTGTTTTACAGGATGTATGACACAGAAAAGGAGGTCATCTCGAATGACTTGACGCCACTTATTGAAGAGCTTGGAGGTTAGTTGGCTTCGTATCTCATACTGCCATCATTTGGATTCGTTCATGGCCCTATATTCTCTCTGTAGCTCATAATATTCATTTGGCCATAAGACCGTAAATAAATGCATTTCAGTAAGGGTATCCTGAGTGTTAGGTATTATTTTAGGCACATTTCAAGGAAGGTTTATGCAAAAAGAGCATGTACATCCCTTCTTGCTGGTCTGTCACAATCCTGTTCCACATCAGTACTATTGTCTGGATGGCTTCTGGGGGATGCATGTGCACACATTGATAGTATAGGGGAATGCTTTGATGTGGTTTAAGGGCAGTATGTGGCCACCAGCCATTTTGCTCCGGACCCCGGGAACTTTCAGCACACATGCAGCTGCGTTGGAGAAATATGGCTGGCAATCATATTGGTGTTTAAGGGCGCAGTACGTGGCCACAGGGCCCCTTGTCAGGACAGTGGCTGGCCTGTCCAGGTCAACCTGGGCATGTTAAATGTCTGGGATTTTTTTTGTTTTTTTGTTTTATTGGTGGGGAGTTTCTGTTCCCACCACCCAGCCCTAATCCAGGTTCTTTTTTTGCTTTTCAGCGTTGTTGGTTGGGAGGGAGAAACAGGGGGGTATAAATGGGGTTTAAGACAATGTCATTCAAAAGGCGGTTCCTTAGTTTGATTCTTCTTTTTTGCCTTTTCAAAGTTTTCATCTTTGGTGCAGTAAGGAATTCTGAGATGATACTCAGCCAAAAGTCCCTCGCATGGCAATTCCACATAACGTTGTTTTCCCCATAATTTTTATATTCATGAACTATAAAGTTGTATGTTATTTTGTGCTGGGGTTGCTTGGGACTAGGCCAGGACCTTGCCTGGCATCTTGGCCAACAGGGTTTTCCATGCAGCCAGAGATAGCTTGGGGCATCTGGAAAGTTGTCACAGCTTTTTATTGACGCTAGGAGGGTCATAACGGGTTCAGGATGCAGGTTTGGAGGGTTGTGGGCACAAGCCGCTTAGAGATTAGAATGTAGCAAGTATGAATTTTGGGTGGGGACGGTGCTGTGGGAAATATGCGCTTGTGAAGTGCCATCATGATATCCATGTTCCTTCAATATTAGGATATGTGTGCACATGTGGGCCCTATCCACAAGTAAGTAATTAACAGGGAGAAGAGTGGGATGTACAGTTTGATGTTGGTGATGCTAAGCAGCGTGATTTCCAAACTTCACACGTGCAGCGAAGAGCTCCTTGCTCTTGCCGAAGATATATTGGCCTACTGCCTCTTTGGGTGGTGACTTTCCAGGCCGGCGGCCTCCCAAGCTACCAGTACCTTCCCCGTTTCGTAGGGAAACATCATTGCAGTCTGATATCCCTCACTGCAGGCCCTTGACTCAGAGTACAGGACTGGTACCCCTACACTCTAAAGGTACCGGACTCTAAATTTCCTCAGGCCTCGAGGTACTAACTTTGTCTTCTTCTGCCTACCTACCCGCTACTCGAGTGTTTTCCTTCCTATGCTGGCCTAGCCTACTTCTAAGTTTCCGCTGCATCCCCACAAAAGCACAGCCACAGGTAAGTGCCAGGCCCGAGGGCCTTGCCAGATACAAGTACCCGGGCGGGTCACACGCACGCCCGAGCAATCATGCAGTCAGACAAACACAGAAACTCAACAATCATGCACACATCGCCCCGTTTACTCTGCCTCCTTTCATAACGTGCAAGTGTGCTGCTGGCGCTCAACCACAATTAGCGCCGCCAGCCGTGTACGCGAGAGGCATAGTAAAAAGGGGACTGCACAAATAAATGAACGGGGTAACCCCAAAGAAAGGCAAAGTAAACACAGTTAAGAAAGGGATTTAAACGGATCTAGTGTGCTCCATGTGCTTGCGATTGAGGTAAAACTGTTTCATTGTTGGATTGTTTGAACGCAAGTGTTTTCATTATCTGCAATAGCAAGTGTTTTCATTATCTGCAATAGGACTAACGCTAGATCTACTCATCTGGGTGGGATAGGGGCTGTTGTGGTGAAAATCCAAAACATGCGTACTTAGAATGCTCAGCAGAACACGGGAATCTCAACAAGTCACGCAGTACAGCGGCAAAATGCAGAAAACAGCAGAGTTCTCAGTGTGTGATCTTGCAGGTACCTTACCCCCCCTTCAAGAGCGAGGTCCCTTCGAGTGAGTAGACTCAGTCAGAGTCCCTGCAAAAATGCATCGTAGGCAGTGAATGCAGAGACTTCTACTGACTGTTCATAACCAGTGAGTTGTTCGTATGCATTAACTACATTGGCTGCAGTCTTAAGTAGGACTTCGTGAGATATCCGGTAGAGTTCACGTAACGGATGATACAAAATTTGTACTTGATACTTGTTGAACTTCACTTTGCCAATGTGTGCAACACTTCTGTCAATTCTGTGACCGCTATTGATAGGACGGTGGATCATAGGTTCACGATCAGGAAAGGAAGTAGCAGCAGTAGCAGTAGTTTATTGGGTGCAACTTAGAAGCATGAAAGAATGGGTACGTGCGCAGATGAGGCGGCACATCAGTCACATACGAACGACCAAAAGCCCTATCCGCCACTACTTTCAGAATCCGCCAAGGGCCGTACAAGACACCCTCTCTTCATCTGAAACTTTAGACATCTTTACCCAAACATAGCTCCCCACTTTGAATGCCTCAGGTCTGCATCGCCTGTTGGCAAACTTGGCCATGGCATCTTGGTGCTTGTTCATTGCTGCAACAACAACTTTGAGCAAGCACTGGTACTGGCGGCGTAGCCAGAGGTGCCAGGAGTCAGCACAGGTGGCATGAGGTGGCAAAGGAATCAGATTGAGAAATTTGGAGAAGTGGTTGATGATCACCATGACTTGAGAATTCCCCCGCTGACTTACCTTTCCCATGTCTGTGAAGTCAATAGAAACCAATTCACTGGATCTGGGAGGGATAGGTAGAGGGTTCAACAAGCCTAGAGGTGGTTTTCTATGAATCTTAGTCCTTTAACAGACTTCTCATTCTTCCACAAACTTACAAGCAGATTCCTTCATGTATGGCCAGTCAAATTGCTGCAATAGACTTCTCTCTCTCTCTCTCTCTCTCTCTCTCTCTCTCTCTCTCTCTCTCTCTCTCTCTCTCTCTCTCTCT